GTCTGACCTCACTGTCGTGTTTACGGAGTCGTCCCCCTCCACGCCTCTTATCTTCGTGCTCTCTCCCGGGACCGACCCAGCTGCCGATCTGTACAAATTTGCAGATGAGATGAAGTTCTCGAAGAAGATGAGTGCCATCTCTCTAGGGCAAGGCCAGGTCAGCCTGAAGACCTGGCAGGGAATTCCTGTGAACAAGAATGACCACGACCGGTTCTGAAAACTGAAAAGTTATTAATTTTATGTGTGTGTGTGTGTGTGTGTGTGTGTGTGCAATAAATACACATTTATTTTGGGGGACGGGGCTTAAATAGGCCTAATAACACCTCTGAATGAGATGTTTTATTTTTAGTTATCTCTTTTTTGCAGTAATCGAGTATTCAAGACGATCGATATAAATTGATGTATGAATATCAGTTGTTGTCTGTCTTTAACAGTATGACTGTGTGTTAGGTTATATTGAAACTATCTTTGGTTTGGGGGCCTAGGCAGCAATAATGTATTATTACAGGGTCCTTGGGCAGAGGCTATGATGCAGAGCGCCATGGAGAAGGGCCAGTGGGTCTTCTTCCAGAACTGTCACCTGGCACCCAGCTGGATGCCGTCACTGGAGAGACTGATAGAAAACATCAACCCTGACAAGGTAAGAACAAAAATTTGGTAACAGTTCCCAGCAGAGGCAGTCATACAAGGATAGACAAATTATGAGTGACGTTTGAGGCTCCGCCATCTGCTCCCAAAGGAACCTTTGGTCAACATAGTGGCATCCTCTGTACTCTAGTCTGATGTCAAATCTCTGGTCTGATGTCTCCGTTCATTTCTGTCCAGGTGCACCAGGATTTCCGTATGTGGCTAACCAGCCTGCCGAGCAACAAGTTCCCAGTAGCCATCCTGCAGAACGGGTGCAAGATAACCATTGAACCTCCTCGGGGTATAAAGGCCAATCTTCTTAAGACCTACATGGGCCTCAGTGGAGACTCCTTCAGCACCTGCTCCAAGGTTGGATTCCGGGTTCTGTGGCTCCTCCCCTTCCCATCCCCTCCTACACTCCTTAAGTCGTTCCACACCCTTCGGCTCTAGCCTACGACCTTCCGGGTGACCTGCCGCCTTCTCCCTTTCTGCTCCCAGCAGACCAGCCAGTTCAAGGCCCTGCTCCTGTCCCTGTGTCTCTTCCACGGTGGCGCCATAGAGCGCAGAAAGTTTGGCCCGTTGGGCTTCAACATCCCGTATGACTTTACAGACGGCGACTTGCGCATTTGCATCAACCAGCTGAAGATGTTCCTTGACGAGTACCAGGACGTCCCCTACAAGGTAGAGCAGCCTAGCTCTGCTGCTGCTTGGTACATTATGGCGATTTCAGCCCATAAATTTCCTATATTATCATAAAACAAATGCCAACAGTCCACAGTAGAATGGAATAAAATAAAATAAAACAAAAAGCCTCCAACAAATCTTAAACCTGTTTCCCATAGTTCACATCTCAGATGTGTGTGTTTTAGCCATCTCCAGATATAAGCTGGTGTGTTCATGTCCATCCCTGCTATCGAACAGGTCTTGAAATACACGGCAGGTGAGATTAACTATGGCGGCCGTGTGACCGACGACTGGGACCGCCGGTGCATTCTGAACATGCTGGAGGATTTTTACTGTCCCGCTGTGCTAAGCACGGGGCACAGCTATACCCCGTCTGGAATTTACCGCCAGGTCGGCACCGAGCTTGACGTCAAGGTAAGGAGAGTCAATCGTGCCAAACTCAGCTCTTCAGCTGTACCCAGACCCCACCTGACACTGTACCCAGACCCTACCTGACACTGTACCCAGACCCTACCTGACACTGAACCCAGACGCCACCTG